ATTAGGGTGATGATAATTTTTATTTTCAGTTTTGGGTTCTTTGGAAACACAGAATATCCCTTCCTCTAGCCTGGTGGGCAGGGGGATTAGGAAAGAATCTCAAATCAGGGGTTAGGTCTAAGATTTGAACCCTGGACTGATGCCAAAGTGTTTAGAACACTACTCTTCTAAGGTTTTGTTTTATTTTTAAAGAAAGGTTTTTAGATTCATATTTTTTTTTTGTCTCTCTACAATAATAACCCTAAGAGGGATTCTTAGGATGCTCTGACACCTATATTGAATTTTACTACCATGGCCTGCTTAGGACGAATTATCATCATCATGGGGACCAAGAATATTTGTTGTCATCATATAGCCTTGGTTTCAAAACCTGGCTCTACCACTTAACTGCTTTGTGATCCTAAGCAGATGGCTAAATAACTTCCTGAGCTTCCATTTCTTGATTTGTGTAATGGGGATATTGATGCTTCAATAGGACTTTGGGGAGAAGTAAGTGCCTAGCACAATGTTAGCTGCTATTAGGAAATGCCCTCAGCTTTCTCCAGGCCTGCTTCCTTGAAAAGGTGGAGCTGTGCCCCTGGAGCTAGCCTGTTCTCATCCTTTCAGCTTTGGGAAGATGTGTGTGTGTTGGTTGGTAGGGAAAGGACGCCAGGTTATCTGGTGGTTTCCCCGCCCCCCCAACCTCCATAATTTCTCATCCAAATGGACGGGAACAGACATATAAAACTTGGAACTTAAACAGTGCTTGTTACTTATGGTAAAGGCTGGTTAATTAGGACTCTTAACCAAAAGTCTTAAGTGGCTTTCCCCCCACCCCTGTTCCCATTCCTCTTACGAAAAAGGAGCAAAAAGAATAGAAGAGTTAGAGTTTATTATTGGAGACCTCCCCTTCAAGGGGCTAGTCCATGGTTAGAAGATACTGTGCTCCCTGCGCACCCCACCTGTCCCCTAAGATCTAGCCTACCTGCCTGTCCATTGTATCTCCTGGAGCCTGGCAAGTTTTTCAGTGAACGTGTGTTAGAGGAATGAAGATATAGCCTAGGCCCCAGCTAGACTGGGCTGTTGTTGTTTTCTAGACATGCTCTGCATTTTCCTGCTTCCATGCTGTCATTTATGCCTGGAGTGCCTCTCCCAGTTGTGGCCCTGTGGATTTGGGGTTGGAGTTACTGGTGCCTTGTCTTATGCCTCTTATAAGCTAGTAGGCTCCTTGTAGGCATCAGCTCTGCTTTCTTCATTTTTGAAGAAACACTGCATCTTGTACACTATACATTAATGGTTATTGACCATTTGCTGTGATCTCGGGAAATGTGAGTTACTTCTATTTGCTTATTTAGTGCCCATACACCTTTATGAAACAGCTACTATTATTAGCCCCATTTAACAGATGAGAAAACTGTGTAGCCTTAGGAAATAGAGTATCATATCACTAGAAAGTTTGTTGTACTTGATGGAATTAAAGTGGGTCTCTAAGGCCTTTGGGGTCCACAGCCTTATCCACAGGACCTGCAGTCCCAAGGGATGTCTCTGATGAAGTGGAAAAGCTTCTCTCTTGGAGAGCAGTGCTGCCCACAGAACTGGACTTTGTGAAGCAGGAACATGGGCTGATGTAATATTCATCCTTCATTTCTAAAGAGTTTCTTAAAGAACTCAAAATGGTCTCATCAATTTACATATTGTCGTCTCTGAGCTTCCAAACAAGCTTGAGACCTAGGTCAGCTATTACAGTCCCATTTTATGGACAATGAAGCCAAAGGCTGGAAAGAAGTGACTGTAAGAGGTGGAGTTAGGACTCAAACCCAGGTCTTCTCACTCTTAGCCAAGGCTCTTGACTGCATTCTCCTTTAATACACCAAAGCAAACAAAGAATCCACAAACAAACAAGTGTTAAAGCTAGAGGATTCTCAGGGAGGTATCTTCTGGGAGCAGAGGTGTTCCTTTCTGGGAAGCGGCTGGGGAGAGGGCTGACTTGAATATAAAGTCTGCTGGGTAACTTGTGTCTCCCAGGAAATCAAGTTGGCCAGAGTAGCCTGTTCCTGCTTTTCTATCTTGTTGAGTGTTGCTAGTAGAAAGGGGGCTCTGGGGGGTCCACCCTGTCTCCTCAGACAGAAGGGGAAGGGAAGGAGTTTCCCTCTTTGCTCCCTTTCTCTGTGTTTCCCTGCTCACGAATCTCCTGGGTCCCAGGGTGCTAGTCCTGGGTGGGAATCTGCTGCCTTTCCCTACCAGCTGCCCCCTCCTCACCAGCTGCTGCTTCCTGGGAGGATTTCTGGAGGGATTTCACTGGGAGGTTCCAGATGGGCAGGACAACAGCCCACTTCAGAAAGAAGGGACCTAGATTCAAATTCTGTTGTGCCCCAGAGCCTGAGAGATGGGGAAGTGTGGGGGCTGACTGTTTCCTGCCTTGATTGATCTTTGAGAATTTCTGGTTTGTTAACCAAGCCACTTAGAATACATATCGCTGCACTTCATCTTCCTTTGCAAAATCCAAGCCCATCTACTTTTGGCTTTATGAGCTTTGTGGAAGTACTTTTCACACCTTGGATTTTAACTTCTTACCTCCCCCTATTTTCTTCATTCTTTTCCCTCCTCCAAATGTCAGGTTTTGGTCAGCCAAAGAAAAGGCAGGGAGACTCTGTGTGGCTCTGAACCACGGGGATGTTAGTGCTGGTTTGCCTGACTCTCCTGCTGAGCTCAGCCTTGGCAGGTCCACGAGTCTTGATGTCCGTCCTGCATTTTGTTTTGGTGTGGTGACTCCACACCAAAATTTTCTCTCCACTATTTCTTGGTGTTGCCAACAGATGGAGGTCTCTGGTCCAAAGACATCTTTTTTTTTTTTTTTTAATTTATTTGTGAGACAGAGAATGAGAGACAGAGAGCATGAGAGGGAGGAGGGTCATAGGGAGAAGCCGACCCCCCGCTGAGCAGGGAGCCCGATGTGGGACTCGATCCCGGAACTCCAGGATCATGACCTGAGCTGAAGGCAGTCGCTTAACCAACTGAGCCACCCAGGCGCCCTGGTCCAAAGACATCTTGGAACAGAAAGGGCATATAGGGAGAATCCTGTTGCTTTCCCAGGCCTCCAGGCCAAGAAGGCATTCCCATCACCCAAAGGAGATTGTTCATTTGTTTTTATTTAAAAATTTTTAGGAATAGACGGTTTAAAAAATAATACGATCTACTCTTAAATATTCCCTTCGTTAGGGAAGTCTTTTAAATGTCTAACCGAAAATCTAACCAAAGGCCTTTTCCTGTTCACATATGTAGAAGCACGGCCAGCTTTTTACTTTATGGCATTTGCTTCCCATTGTAAAGGATCTGCCTTTTAAATTTGTTTTTGTTATGTCCAAACATTCCTGAGTTTCGGGATGGACAAGGCTTAATTGTGGGCCCAGTGATCTCAGTGGGCCGCTGGGGAGCAGGTGGGGAGGCCTTTCTGTCCAGTGAAAGGTGGACCAGATTGTTTGTAACTGGATCTCTGAGAGTAAAATACTGACATTTGGAGGCTCTGGATGAAGGGTGTATGGGAATTCTTTGGGTCCGAAAGTATTTCAACATAAAGTTTAGAATGAGTTTTATAAGAAATGATTTAAGTCTTCTTTGTTTGGCTTTTAAGAAGCCGATGAACGTGAGAGCAGAGCTGAGCATGCTCTGGTTTCCCTTTCCGTCGCGCAGCTATAGCTGTGGCAGACCCGCTCTGTCCACAGCTTCCTGGGCACGGAGCGCTCTGAATCTCACCCAGGGGCTGGCCAGGCCACGTGGGGGTAGCCCTCGCTGGCAACTGGGAGGTGTCGCCTCTAGAATGATCCAAGAAGCTACGAGGACAGAGAGGGGCTGCCAAAGAAAGAAGAGAGGGGGCCGGGAGTCTGGAGGGCAAGGAGCAAAGATGCTCCTGGGGGCAGTGGGGCAGAACCACAAGAGAGCCCCAGAAAGGGGCACATGACAAAGGACCCTGTGATCTCCAGAACCTGCTGCACCAGGAATTGTCAGCTCTTGGGCCAATGTACCTTGGCATAACTTGTGAAAATACTTTCACACTTCCTTTCCCATCACAGCATGGGAGTGAAGCAAGATGAGCCGTTGTATCCCCATTATACAGAGGGACAGTGAGGCCTAGGGAGGTGAGGCCATTGGCTCAGGGACACTTCTTGCAAATGGCAAAGCCAGAATTTGAGTCTAGTTGCCTTCTTTCTGAAGTGTATACTCCTTCACTGACATTTTGCTGTCTCTGTAATAGCAACATGGTGGCCTGGGCAAAGGTCGGGGTAGGAATTGCACTTGGCATTTCCCTTGCGTGGACATCCGGCCTGTGTGTTTTGTCTTGGTTTAGGTGTCTCCAAATTCCCCTCCATCTTAATGGTTCCCCCTGGCCTGCCTCTCATGGACTGTTGCTAGTGGTGGTGGGGCCAGCTGTGTTGCCTCGATGCCTGGACAGATGCTTAGTTGGGCCTCCTTGTGAATCAGAGACTGTAGTAGGCTTGACTTTGGACACAAAAGGATGATGCCTTCCGCCAGCCGTGAAATGTTGACTTCGTACCAGAACCCCCGGAGACTTCCAGCCACACAGCAGTTCTGACCCACTTTTGTTTGGCTGAGCTGCAGGGGGCACCGTCTGTAAATCTGCCAGCTTGCGCCTTGAGGAGAAATGAGCTCAATTAAGTAGGCAGGTCCCAGTGAGGCTTTTTTGCAACGCCATTAATAATCGCAGGGAGCATGGAAAAAATATAACCTCACATCTCTCTGCCCCATTTTCATCTGTGTCGATGTTCAGGGTGGAGGATCACACAGAGGAACGCCTTTGCTGCCAGATTGAGGCTAGTTTCCCTTCAGCCAGGATGTGCTGTCTTTCTGTCTGCCTCTCTGTCTGTCCCTTTTCCTCATGCCTGCCCCCAAAGTGCCCAAGACTCCACTGTGAATTTCACAGATTGCCAGGGCCATGGAAGGGCAGCAGTGTGTTATAACTTTGTTTTCTGAACCTCTGCCTTTTTTTTTTTTTTTTGGAACAGAGCAGCACTTTCCAGAGGTGATGCTGGGGGAAGAATTTCTTAGCCTAAGTCTGGACCAAGTGTGCAGCTTGATATCCAGTGACAAGCTGACCGTTTCTTCAGAGGAGAAGGTACGGCATGGCCCCTCGGTGAAACAGGACCCTCACGCGTGAGGCGGCCATGGGAGGGACAGTGAGACCTTGTCTCTTTTTCAGCGGAAAAAAAAAGGAGCTCATTTTTTTTTTTGTCCCTTTAAATAATTAGAAAAGGACCTTCTGGCCCATGTTCACTACATTTGCTGTCTGGACCCTTTGAGGAAGAAATAACGCTGGTGATGATGATGGTGACAAAGCTGCCTCCATTAACTGGACATTTACAGTTTGCCAAGCACTCTGCTAAGTGCCTTGTTCTCTTCAGTTCCCTCAGCCTTCACCACAGCCCTGTGAAGCAGGCATTGCCCTTGTCCCCACATTGCAGATGAGGAAAACTAACTTGGAGGAGTTAATTAGCTTGTCTGCAGTCACTCGGCTGGTCACTGCAGAGTTGCAGTCTTCCTGTCACCTGGTCTTAGTCACTGTCCCACATGGCCTCTTGGGAACATCATAGAGCATTTAAGCCAGAGCTGACCTTTGGGAAACATCTATTCTAACAGGGGATTGGAACTTTTACTGTTGAGGAAACTGAGGCTCAGAGAAGGGATAGGATCTGTTGAAGGTCCCACAGTGAGTGACTGTGGCAAAACTAGAACCTGGGTCTCTTGACACCTAGTGCCCCAACTCACCGACTATATACCACTTCCTTGGTGCTGCAGGATTGATTTCTGCCCACTGCTTTAGCTGACCCCTGAGGGCTGATCTGTCCTACCTCTAGGTCTTCCTTCTCACTGACGCTCCGCTTGGATTATTCTCCCCTTTCCAATCTCACCTGTTGGAAACCAGTTCCCCTTCCAGTTCTATCAAGAACTTCTTTACTCCAGGAGATGTAGTCTCCTATATTGAAAGTAACATACACTTTGGTGTTGGCCAGTAGGGTCCAAATCTTATCTCTAGTATTTACAAATTAATTGGTGACCTTGGGTGAGATAGTTTGCTTCTTCATCTGTTTCTCATGTATAAAGTGAGAATGGTAATAGGACATACTCCAGGGGTGGTTGTGGGGATTAAATGGGATAAGGTGTGTCAAATGCCTGGTGTCACACCTGGTACTTGGTAGGTGCTCATTCGGTGGTAGCTGAGTTTATTATCGACCATGTGTCTGGAATTTATTCCTTTCTCCTCTGTGTTCCAGAATAATACTCACCTTGTTCTGTTTTTTACTGCAGTTAGTTTTGAGCCCATCTGACCTCCTCCACTTGACCATGAGTTCCCTGATGGTAGCGACCACATCTTACTCTTCCCTGCATCCTCAGAGATGCTCAATACATGTTTCTTGGATTGTCTTAGTCCGCTCATTGTGTCCCAGATTGAGGTCCTTTTCTGGGGAAATATTTAAGGAAAAGCCTTTGAGAGGGATCTTACATTGGAGATGAGTGTCCAAAGCCACATGTCCAGAGAATAGGGTGGCATCACCCCCACCTGTTGTCCTGCAAAAGTTTGATCCAGAAGAAAAATAGTTGTGGATTGGAATCATGGGCTGCCCCAAGACTTCAGAGGGATTTCCAGAAGATTGACTGGCACAACTAGCTGGACTGTCTCTTAGACTCAGTGAGGCTTCTACTTTCATTAACTGATGTGAGATATCACCTGCAGGGTAAAGGATGCCTCTGGCCAGGCCATGGCCTCTTCCTGCTCCAGCCCCAGCAGCAAAGACTCCCTCACTTCTTGCCAAGCCCTATTTAATGTCTTCTCCGGATCGTGCTACTAAATGGGCACAGTTTGAAGGAAGGAACTAGTTAGTTGATTGACCGTGTGGTAGTTGGTGCAGTTGGCCAGTTTGGGGCCTGCTTGAGTGTGTCCTCAGGTGTAGTCTGAGAAAATGTCAACAGCCGTATAAGCAGCAGGATTTGGATCGTCTTGGGGGTATTTGGGTTGAGAGGGGGGACCCTGCTACCTTTAACTCCTGTGGGCCCATCCTGCTCTGAGATCATAGTAAGCTTTCCTCAGGTGAGGGCTTATCTGTGCTTGCTGTGTCAGGGTGGTGGTGCAGGTGGGTTGTTAAGAGGGAGAGGCATTTTAGTGCCCTGGAAACCACTTGGGCTTTGGACTCAGGAAGACCTGTTTCCATGCTCCACTTGATGCTTACTGGCTCCTTGATTTTCAGAAGTCACTGGTCTCTTTGAACCTTGATTTTCTTACATGTAAAGTGGGACTACTAAGAGTACCTCCCTTACGGAGTTAGGAGGATCACAGATACTGGGTGTAAAAAATCAAATATAGTGTTCAGCAGGTGCTAATAAATGGCGGCTGTCATTGTAATGACCATAGTCCTCTGTTTTGAGGCACCATTGACAATGTTCATGGTATCAGTGTTGCCACTGATAATGGTAAAATAAGCCATGGAGTTAATTGCATCTTTCCAGAAGCAAAGAAGCATGACATTAAATCTACGTGCTTAGAACATTGTCTATAGTGGCTCTCATTCATTCATATGCTTACATAGGAGTTGCTTGTTCTGTGTAATTAGAGTTTAGAGTAGAGGTATTTTTTTTTTTTTTTTAAGATTTTATTTATTTATCTGAGAGAGAGAGTACAAGCAGGGTGTTGGGGGAAGGCAGAGGGAGAAGCAGACTCTCCATTGAGTAGGGAGCCTGATGCGGGTCTCAATCCCAGGACCCTGAGATCATGACCTGAACCGAAGGCAGATGCTTAACCGACTGAGCCACCCAGGCGCCCCAAGAGTAGAGGTATTTTTCACGTCAGCGAAGTTGTATATTATATTTGGTTCTCAGAAGTTATTTGTAACTTCAGAGTTATGTGATGCTTTTCATAAGGTAGATTGCTGATGATCTTGATCCCTTTGGTACCTTTAAGGTTGGCAGTATAGTTTTTATAGTTTTTTTTAATTTTAAAGGTTTTATATTTCAGTGACCTCTGTACCCACACTTGAACTCACAACCCCTAAATCGAGACGCATGCTCTACTGACTGAGCAGCCTGGCGCCCCCTAAGGTTGACAGTATAATTTTGAAGCTTATCAAAGAATAGTGGGGTTTGGCCCGTGTTTTCTATTTCTAATTTTATTTCCCCTAATTGATTACCTATTTCTGGAAGTTAAATAGCTGGAAGCTTTTGACAATTGGATGTTTGTTGTTTGAATGCTAGCTCTTAAGGCTTTGAAAATTCTGTGATGTGTTCCAGGAGATTTTGTGATTTCTACTTCCTTTAGTTACATTTCATAATAAGTAACCTCTTGCATATACAATAGCCTTTTCTTTCACTATTGCATTGTAGTGAACTTAATGGAGTATATTTGAAGTAATATAAGGGATCTTAATTTAAGCTAAAATTCAACTGCATTTGATGTTAACATTTGCGGGGGCTGCGTGGCTCAGTCAGTTAAGCATCCAACTCCTGATCTCTGCTTGGGTCTTGATCTCAGACCCCGTTCAAATCCCACTTCAGGCTCCATGCTGGGGATGGAGCCTACATTCAAAACAAACCAAAACAAAACAAAGAAAAAACCCTCCAAAAACATTTGCAGAAAACTGAACTACACTGGTAATCAAATAACCTGTATTGAGCTAAATCCATATTTGAACAGTAAATCAGCTATATTATGATTTACTTCTTTTTCTACAGCCCACAGATTTCTTTTGCAGCCAGATTTCAGATATTGAAATGTGAAAAAACTATGCATCTGAGAATAGAGGAAATGTGGTATTTTATTTTTTTATTTTTTTTTAAAGATTTTATTTATTTATTTATTTGAGAGAGAGAAACAGCATGAGAGGGGATAGGGTCAGAGGGAGAAGCAGGCTCCCCGCTGAGCCGGGAGCCTGATGTGGGACTCGATCCCAGGACCCCGGGACCATGACCTGAGCCGAAGGCAGTCGCTCAACCAACTGAGCCACCCAGGCGCCCGGAAATGTGGTATTTTAGTAATGAGGATTATAAGTGGCTGTGGTTAGGCCCAGGCAGTTTGCTTGTCAGGAGTTTGAAAAAGTAGAGGTTCTGTGGTTGAAGTGGCTGATTTCCAATCCTGCCTCCACTGCTCTGATAGGCTGAGTGACTTTGAGCAAGTTATTTGTCTCCCACCAGAATGGATGCACCATATACAGTCATGGATTTTCTCCATCTTATGGTCACTGCCAGGGTGGTATTAGTATCAGGTTCACGGTAGACACATAAACAAAGACCATTTGTTGAATGAATGAGTAAGAGAACTCTACGTCTCAGTCTTCTCATCTGTAAAAGGGGGGCAATGATAGTAGAGTACCTATCTGAGGATGAAATCAGATGACACGTGAAAAGTTCTTAGCCCACAGGAAGTGTTCATTACTGTAACATGTGATTACTGCTGCTATTATTATTACCACTATCCTCCTCCTCCTCCTCCTCCTGCTCACTGTTGACTGGGGGCATTTCTCAAGGGGGGAAGCTCTTCCCAGAGCCCATGTTAGTCTGGGTGGTTGTGTGACCTGGGGCTTGGTGCCGAGCAGGGACAGAGAGTGGGAGTAGCCTCTTGCTCTCCAACATTCCCAGCTCCCTGGTCCCGGTCTGGGCTTCTCCCAGGGCTCAGATACTGTTCTTCCTCCAACATCACTTGCTGTTACCCGTGCCTCTGTCCTCCACTATTCTCAAGTTCCTGAGGGCTGCGAGGGTGCCCCAGTCATCCTTGTGCCACGGCAGGCTGACCCAGAGCCCTCGGCCAGCTCTGTGGAGCTGCTAAGCAGATATGCCCCGAGTGACTGGGGCCGGATGCCGCCCTAAGCCAGCTGAGGTTGTGGGAATAATTGTCACACTTTTTCAGGGAATAAGGACAAATGTGGGAACTAGAGGTCAGAGGACGCATGGATCCCTGCCATTTTCTCTCCTGTTTTTCCTTCATGTAGTTCTGGTTTTAAAATTCTTGGTATTTGAGGGAAGACAAAAGGACCTGGTAGGAGTTACAAAATCACGAGTTCTTTGGGTGGGACCCCTTCCCTCTGCTGCCCCCTACCACTCCCCTACCCCAGGACAGAGCAAAGGCACACCGGAATAAGCCCTTCACAGTCACCTGTTTCTTCCACAGGGAGTTGTCTGGGCTCACAGCTCAGCCTGTGAGCAGATAGTCTGTTTATTGTATTCGACTTTGAGACCACGGAGTTCACCCCCCACTGTGGACAGCTTCTGGGCCCCAGGGGCAGGCAGGGTAAGCAGCCCTCCAGGGCAGATGCACTCTAAGGAGAAGAGTGGTGACTCTCCAGTTCTAGTGCAGTTTTGCCACGGAATTGCTGGTTCTGAATCTGAATCTTCGCTTTCTTAGCTGGTATGTATGTCTCTACTTCTCAGGAATTCTCTGCCTCCTTATGAAACACTATTGAAGTTTTCAGAATGAGTACTAACGGGGAAATGGCCCACAGTTTAGATACAGGTCAGGAAGACACTGGTTAGGTCTCTTAAACAATTAGTGTCAGGTGTGTATTGAAATGAGAACTACCACTTAGTTTCTCTCTGCGAGATCACCTATTTGATGTGCTGTTGTCCCCTAACCCTGTAATCAGAAGCCAAATTCTGGTATCTTCTGAAATGTCTCCCAGGATCGTTGGTGTTGCATGCCCTCCCGTCTGAACTCCTAGCCTCTCCGGTCAACGGTGGGTAGAGGATGCCGGCTGGAGCTCCTTGACCACTAGGTTAGACTTGAGTGCTTGCTGCCCGGGTCTCACCCAGTGATTTAGCAGGTACATCCTGCTGCCTCGCCAGAGCTGTTGGAAGCCCCACCTTCCTGTGAGGTCAGTAGTTAGAGTTGCCAGCTTCTCGGCTTGCAAACAACCATCTGGCCTGGTCCCTGGTCACAGCATTACTCCTTTCACTGTTCTCCTTTGGAAAGTGCAATTCAGTAAGCACCTATGAGCAGAAATCGACCTTGACTGCCCACCGTTCCCCAGGTGCATTTCACACATCATTTTTTTTTTTTCGAAGTGACATTTGTGTTGAAGTAAGTTCACTGGGACATGAACAAAGTGAAATAACCACTGAACTAGGTCACAGATCCAGTAACAGAACCCCAGAAGTCCCTTCCCGTCACTGCCTCCCACCCCGAGGAGCCTGACTACCATTTTGACTTCTCACGGATCAGTTTTGTCCGTTTTTGAACTTTATGGAAATGGAATGCTGGTGTGTGCATGCTTTACATGTGACTTCTTTGGCCCAGCACGCTGTGCAGCACATCATTTCTACTTCTTGCACAAACTCCCAAGTCAGAGATTATTGTCCCCATTTTGCAGAGGAGGAAACTAAGGCATGTTGACAATAAATAGCTTTGTGGTTTGAAGCTGACTGCGTCTGCTTGCCGGGCCCCTGCTCTCTATGAACGCGTGCCCATCCTGACAGGGAGATGGGGTGAGTGGCCCTTAGGACTGTTTAGGGGCTTGCATTCTGGATACGAAACATGTATCCTTATGTGGCCGAGAGAAGTAGTTGCCTGTAGTCAAAGTTCAAGGAAAGCGCCCTGGAGTGTTTTATTCCAAATTGTTAGGTGGGGAAGACCTCCTGGAAAAAGGAGTATTTGAGCTAAAATTTGGAGACTAAGAGGAGGATTTTGGAAAGCCATTCTGGTTGAAGGGATTGTAGGAATCCAGACGTGGAAGTTTGGGATACCTTATTCTATTTGGGGGAATGGTAACCGATGGGATGAGAGTCCAGGGTCTTTGGTGGGGGTCATGGGAGATGGGGCTGGAAATGGAATAGGTTAGGGGGTGAGGACTTTCTTCTCTAGGTCAGTGTATATCCCACTGTGTGTGGTAAAACGGCAATGTTTGTGAGATGTTCTCAGGTCCGACGCATTTAGGAGACAGTGACCAAACACAGGAACCAGGTTAAGAAACTGAAGGACTTGTCAGAGCTTTTATATGTTAACGAATTCTGTGAAGCTCTGAAGGAGGTTTGGGGGTGTGCGTGATGTGTTCTGCAGGCTCATTTGGTCCCAGAACCTCCTTTACTCCAGAATGTCTCCTGCCCCTAGTATTCTGAGGACCACATTATGGAGAATAGTTTTGAGGCTGATTTTCTTTGGTTGCCCCAGATATTCTATGATTTATTGATTTTCCTTTTTTGTAGTTCTTTTCATTAAGGATGTATAATTTTTGATTATGAGACCATCTTCAGAGGATGTTTTGTCCATGGGAGTCTGGGTTGCCCTGGGCTGTGGAAGTGCACCCCAAGGGCAGGTTTACTGGCTTAGAAACGGTTTCTGTATTCTTTTTTTGTCTTGAGTATCCACTGTACTATCTGGATAATATCACTTCAGACCCCATATCTGTATGTAGTGTGAGCCTGGAGTTTTGATTTCTTGAAGATATATGGTTTTTAACTTCCTGGCTTCCAGGAGATGTTGAGCTCCCTTCCGCCTTCCCAGAGCAGATGGATGGAGTTCATCTAGTCCCAGTACACGGGACTGTAGGTGGGTAACACTGTCCATGGAGAGCCGGTAGCATAGACATTCTACCTGATAAGACACGAGTTCTGAACAATTCAAGTCCATGTCTGAATTGTACGGGCCTGTGACCCATTTTGGCCTTAGCTTCCATTCAGCTGCCAGACTTGCATAATAAATAAGTAAGTAAGTAAATAAATAAATAATAAAAAAAAAATAATAAAAAGAAAGAAAGAAAGAAAGAAAAATAGGAAAAAGAAAAAAAACCACTCAGGCACTTCCCTCTTTCTTTTGACTATGGCTCAAATCTTTATTTGTTGGTAATATGTCACTTTTATGTGTTTGGAGCTGTGGGGAAGATTCTTTCCAACTCAGCACCATCCGCCATATTGACTGCAAGGCATTCTCCATCCCTGTGTCACGCTCCATTCATTTGTAGAATTGGTGCCATGAAATAGTCTTTCAGCTTGCAGGCATTCCTCTCAAACCACTGTGCTCCAGTCCTTCTCCTTTGCAGAATCAGACTGCGTGTCTTTATCTTGGCTATAGGTGGTAGTGGAAAGCTGAACAATTTCCAGGCAAGGCGATATCCCTTTTAGTTTTGTCATCATTTTTGTTGTTTATATGAAGTCACATATTTGGCAGTATGCTGTCATAGGGAGAGAACCATACACCCAATCATTCCCACTTTGACTAACTTATTCATTCTCTCAGTAAATATTTATTGAGTGCCTTTCTATGTGGCAGATAGTATGTTATTCACACGAGAGACATTGGTGAACAGATCAACAGAAGATCCCTGCCTTTGTGGAACTTAAAACCACATGAGGGAGATAGATTTTATAAAAAAATGTACAGAAATAAATATATTGCTACAGACTATGAAATGTGCTATGGACGAAGTATGGATTGAAAGCCAGGGATTGTCATTGCTGCCCCGTTACCAAGTAGCTGGGTAATGTTTGGGCAGACCACTTCCCCACTGTCTGCCTCGCTTTTCTCTTACATGAGTGACTCTTGCTGTTCCCGGGGCCCTTGTGGGTCTGAGCTGAAGCAACTATAAGAAGGAGCTGTTAAGTGCCCTATAAAACCTTAAGATGATGGGACTGTCGGAAAGATGAGTGCAGCTGAGTAGGTTTTCTAGAGTTTGGGGAGCCTTCAGACCAGGAAATCTCCCAGCCAGTGTTAATGCTGGCTCTGCAAGGGGCTCTGCAAAAAAATTCTGAAAGCCCTGATTTGTTTACTGATTCATTTGCTAATTTCCATGGTGTAAATATTTCCACCAAGGCTGATTCAAACTGCCAATGTAATGTCACTAAACCCCAAGATGGGAAGACACGTGCACGATGAGCTCCAGCTCTAGCACACCACTGCTCCCAAGGGTCCCTGGTGTGGTGCGGGACAGCAAGGCAGGGTTCTGGTTCATAGAAGTCCCGTTAAGCTTCAGTTGAAGAAACAACACAAATCTGACAGAATCATTCTTGTGTCTAGTAGTGCTTTTTTTTTTTTTTTTTAAAGATTTTATTTATTTGAAAGAGCGAGAGAGCACGAGCGGGGGGAGGAATGCCTGCAAGCTGAAAGACTATTTCATGGCACCAATTCTACAAGGGAGGAAAGCAGGAAAGGGAGAAGTGGATTCCCCACTGAGCAGGGAGCTCAATTCAGGACTCCATCCCAGGACCCTGGGATCTTCACCTGAGCTGAAGGCAGGCGCCCTAGTAGTTCTGTCTTCTTGATTGAAAATCATGGCAGTTAATTCACCAAATGCTATTGGCTCAATCCCTGGGAAAGAAAAGAGTATCTGGCGGGGGGATGTCCTAAGAGCACATGGGGGGTACACTTATGATTATGGGTTTAGGAATATAGTTCCCCAACTCAGTGGTCTGTGCAGGCTTTCTAACTAATTGTGCCTCTGAGATGGAATATTGCATAATGTTAGAACTTGAGTTTTTGGAGTTAGAGGTGAGTTCACATCCCAGTTCTACTACTTCTTGGCAGCGTGACCTTAGACACTAACCTCTCTGAGGCTGTTTCCTCATCTATAAAATGTGAACACCGATACCTACTTCACAGGATTTGGGGTGGATTGAAGGAGATCTTGCATGTAAAATGCATAGCACTGTGTCTCTTGTTATTTAAAATTAGCCTTTCTCAAATCTTGAGTAACAAATTAAGTCCATGTGCAAAAAACCTAGTTTTTTCCCTGATCTTGTCAAAACTGGCTTCTTTTCCTCCATCCTATGCTTTGCCGTGAATCACCCTCAACTGGACCTTTTCCCTTGCCAAGTCACCGCCCTGCCTATTTTTAACTTAAGTCCCCCTTCTTGATTTTCAGAACACGTTTTGAAAGCAGTTGTAAGTGCCCCAGCGCTCTGCACTCTCCTCTCTGGGTGTAGGTACAGTGTGGTGCAGCTGCCTCCCTCACTGGAGGGGTGGTAGGTATAGGGGGTCAGCTTCATCTGGTCTTCTGGCCAAGGCTTGTGCTTACATCAGAAGTGTGGGGAGCCAGGAACTGTGAAATTCGATTTTCTCTATCCTTTTTCCACCTAGCAACCTTGTGGCACCCAAGAGATTGGTTTTGGAATATAAAGCAGTGAGGAAATGATGCTCTTTTTGTTGAAAAGTAAAACCCTAAGCATGCCTTGCGGCAGCTGGTTTCATCATGGGATGCATAAAAAGTGTTTTCATCTGGGTACACATCACCCTGTCCTGTGATCAGAGCCACAGGGTTTCTGCTTAGATTTCATAGACCAGGAGTTGATACCCTTTTCCTCTAAAGCACCAGATAGTAAATATTTTAGGCTCTGTGGACCACAGAGTCTCAATTCAGTTCCGCTGTTAGAATGTGAAAGCAGCCACAGACGGTATGTAAACGAGTGAGTGGGGCTGTGTTCCAGTAAAATTTTATTTATGAAAACAGGTGGCAGGCTGAATGTGGCCTGTGGGCTGTAGTGGGCCAGCCGCTGCTGTAGGCCCGTGACAGACAGCTGAGAATGGTGGGTAAGAGCATGAGTGCTGGCGTTGGGTCTGGGTGGACCCCAGCCCTGCTGCTTTGTGGCTCTGGGCCTGGGTGAGTCACTTCATGCAGTTTCAGAGGATCTGCTCCCTGGACTGTCCCTGGAGTCCAGGCTACCAGCGTCCATGAAGCGTGTGGCTCAGGGCTTGGCGCCTGGTAAACATCGGCTCCTGCTGCCAGTCCCTTAACAGGAGGTGCTCTTGGGAATGATTTTAGGCACATTAAGGCCTAGAGCTAGCTGCAAGTTTATTGGCTTATTTTCTAAGCATGGAGCCTCAGTGAAAAAAACCCACGGTGCTGCTGAGAAGGTCACTGTTGTTGCCGAGCGCTGGTGGCTTTCACAGCTGAGTAGGTAAACAGTGCAACTGAGTGGAACCAGTGAGACAAGCCGAGCCAAAAATAAAGATAAGGTTAAATATCGACTTTATTAGACTCCGCTTGCTTTTTATCTTTTATAACGAAGACGAAGCTGGTTGATGGGGAAGGGCACGATCAGGAAATCTCACCTCCTCAAGGACTTGCGGTTCATTCTTCAGCAGAGATTTGTCACCTGGCCGTCGGCTCTGTGCCCGGTGTTGTGCTAGGTGGCTTGCAAGAGCTCCCAGTCTAGTAAAGTGGAGCAGAAGGAAGTTGGATAACCACATTGCAAGGCAGAACAGGACTGTGGTTGCCCACCAACTCATCCGGCACGGTCTGACTTCCTTTGGTCTCCAGCTTCCATTGGTCCCTGCTCTGATTCTAGTCTCCCTTCCCCCAGCCCGGACAGCTTCCACTGCCTCCGTACATGCTTGTTCTGAACTTATCGGTCCATTCATTCATTAAAAGAATATTCGAGTATGTGTTATTTGCCATTAAATAAGACAAGGTCTCTGTTCTTATGGATCTGAAAGGCTAGCTGAAGCAACACAGTGATTCACAAACTAATGCTATGAGGGTGAGGGATAAAGCTCTATGAGAGTGAATAATCTAAAAAAATAAACTGGACAGGGAGGATTTCCATGGTATGTGAATGTTTATGTTTGTGCACATAGAGGTTACTTTTTGCAGAAGTGAGGGCATACTATCCAGAGATAGTGCTCCTTTCTTTCTGTTCCATTCCATTCTTTTCTTCTTCCCTTTCTGATCAATTCTTCGCCTATTTTGAGTATGCCCAGCCTGACTTAAGTTTATATTTAGGAAATAGGACCAAAGCATCATTAACATATCAATACACACAAACTATTCTTAGGGTTAGAAAAATTAGAGATTTTTTCCACCCCTGGGAGTTAGTTTTCATTTCAACTTTATGCCACATAAATTTTGTTGTCATATTTTCCTTTTCCCTTAGAATTTCTTTTCCTCTCCCCTCTGCTTTTCATTTTGAAAAATTTCAAACCTATATTAAAGTTTGAAAGCATGCACATACATATACTCTTAACCTAGATTCACCAGTTAACATTTTGCTTCATTTGCCTTATTTCTCTCTCCACATATTTAAACTTTTATTTTGCTGAACCATTTGACAGTAAATTGGAGACATGATAACACTTCATCCCTAGTATTTGAGTATGCACCTCCTCAGAACAAGGAAATTATCTTTATTTAGCCATAAAACCATTATCATACCAAAGAAATTTAACACTAATACAATGATATTAGCTAATACATAGTCAGCATTCAAATTTCCTAACAGTCCTTTATGGCTGTTTCTTTTAAATCCGTGATCCAATCAAGGATCATGCATTGCATTTAGTTCACATGTCTCTAAATCCCCTTAATCTAGAACTATCTCTCAGCCTTTTTTTTTTTTTTATCTTTCATAATATTAATGGTTTTGAAGAATTCAGGCCAGTATGTCTTACAGAATTGCAGAATGTTCCAAATAGGGAGTTGTCTGATTTGTTTCCTTACTATAAGATGCAGGTTAAACATTTTAGGAAGAAACTACTTTAGGGGATGCTGTGTCCTTCTCATTAAGTCACAATCAGGAAGATAAGTTTGTCCTGTTATTGGTGGTGCTAACTTAGGTCACTTGTTCAAGGTAGTATCTGTCAGATTTCCCCATGTGAGGCTGGCCCCACCCCTGCCATCCTGGAATTAGTAAGTCATCTGTGAGGTGATAACTTTGAAAACTATCCTGTTCCCCAACAATTTTTCATGCAGTGATTTGAGCATCCACTGATGAATTTTGCTGAATTAGTTATTACATTTGTGGTTGCAAAATGATGTTTTTTTTTCTGTCATTCCTTCTCCCTTTATTGGCTGGCATTTGTCTGTGAAGAAGAGCCCTTCCCACATTTTTAAAAGTATCTTTGTGGATTCAATGGATTCTTTTTTGTTCATTGTGTTATGATCCATTACTGTGTTTTTCTTTCATTCTGAGAATGTTTTATTTAATGAATGAATGAATTAATTTATTTATTAAAGTAGCCTCCATGTCCAATGTGGGGTTGAACTCACAACCCTGAGATCAAGAGTCACATGCTCTACCAACTGAGCCAGCCAGGTGCCCCTCTGCGAATGTTTTAAACTGAATTATGACTTAGGCACCGTGAAACGTACAGATACTACGTATACAGACTAATTAGTTTTCACAAATGCATATGTACATGTAACTCCCACCTTGTCAAGATACGTAACATATCCATTCCCCCAAAAGTTTCCTTTGTCACCTTCCTAGTCATTCCCCCACCCCACTTCATCAAGAAGCACTAATCTGATTTCTTCATTATTCTCTTTGATGTTTTGTCCCAGATGTTGGCAACAAAAGCCCCGTTTGTTGGCTCTGTGTTCACTTGACATGTCCATCTTAATCTTTGAGCACTTTCTTGGTTTCTGGCGCAAGAAGTTGTTTTGTTTTATTCTTTTTACCAGCTGAAAATATCCCATAGTATGTATACTAGTTAAATAATTTCTCCATTAATGAGCTTTAGGTTGCTTCCTTTTTATTTTGTTACAAAAATGCATCAGCAAACATCCTGGAACACATATTCTTTTATGAGCACCACCTTTTTGAGTATTTTTGTAGGCTAGATCCTAGAAGTGGTATTTCTAGGTCAAAGAGTATGTACATTGAAATAGTTGATTGATATTGCCAATTCTTCCCTCCCTTCTTAAAAAGCTGTGTTAAGTTTCCAGAAATAGTGCTGGTTTCCCTGCAGCCTTATCAACATTGAATTTTATCCATCTGTGTGTATATGATTTTGGATTTCTTCTTGAGCATGGTGAACATCCAAACCAGAGAGCCTCCTTTTTGGTTTCGAGCCCGATTTTCATTTGTAGAGAAATGAAATCTCTCCTCAAGGGAGAGGTTAAACCAAGGAGAAATTTTTGACGAAAAATTCTCTGTCATTCGCTGACCCACTCAGCATTTTTACAACACTGTGAGTAAATGCTAGCTGATATTACTACCATCTCGATGACCAGCTTTTGGGCAGATGATATTCTTATTGTCTTGATTCTGCATTAACTGCACTTGGGAGATGAATGAGGAGAGGGATGTATGCGAGGGGCGTGGTGGCCTTGCCCCAAAGTCTTCTGGTCTTCCTGTGCAGTCTTTGGTTCAGAGTTCCTGCTCTGTATTTCTATCTTTAAATAACCATGAGACCTGATCTTTATTTTGCAATGAACTTGGTGATTCTGCATTTGGGGTAGTAGGTTTCTTATAACCTGTGTGTGTGATATCACTCTGAAGTCAGCTAGCAGACAAAATCTTTCCATTTTTCTTTTATTGTAAATGTTGAACCTTAGGTTAACGACCTTTGTGGATGATTTGGACATTGGACTTCTTTTTTTCAGATTGAGGAAATTGTTTGGAAGCTCTTCTCTCTGCTACAGTTACCTGTGTTGATTTTCTTGATAGGTATTTGAAGCTGTGATTTCATGGATCAATTATGAGAAAGAAACCCGTTTAGAGCACATGGCAAAACTGATGGAACATGTCCGTCTTCCTCTCTTACCGAGGGATTACCTGGTCCAGGTGAGTGCTGTGTGAAGAACCAAGGGCTTTCCTGCTCCCCCCGGCCTCTTGGAATAGCTGCAGGCAGCCCTGGTTGGGTGGGGTGGTTGAGGAGTATTAGGGGTCTTTTGTACAGGTTGAGAGCACCAACCCACTGGCCTAAGTGTGAATGAAGCCTAGTAGTGTAAGGGTCTTTTCTTAAATTTTTATTACTGAAGTGTAGTTGACATACAACACTCTATGAGGTTTAAGAGTGTAGGTTTGAGAATAAGGCACTTAGGGTTTAGTTCCTGCTCTGCTACTTGTTAGCTTTGAGTTTTTATTTAACCTCTTCAAACCTTAATTTCTTCTTTGATAGAAGGGATATTATACGAAAGCCCCACAGGATTGTTGTGAGGACCAAAAGAGTTGTAAATATGCAAGTCAGGTGTTTAGCATGGAGCTGGGCATAGGAAATGTTCACTGGAAGTTAGCTGCTTTTACTGTAGGGGACCTAAGCAAGAAGGGTCATTTCCATGTTGCCATGTTCTCTTTACCTTCATGTTAGGCAACTTGGAGCCCAATTCAGGACTACACAAACCAGCTCCTCATAGGTGCCTGGGATACACATTGCTTCTACTTCCTCTGAGGAAGGAAAGAAAAACTAAGAATTATGGGGTGCCCCTGTGGTGCCACATATTTAATTCTTATAATAACCCTGTGAGGCAAAGATAAATAACCCTCTTCTTACAAGTCTGGGCCTTGAGGTTTATGGAGGCTGAGAATTATTTGGCAGTAGAAGGCAGGGTCAGGAGTCAAATCCAAGTCTGTTGACCCAGAAGCACCCGCCTTTCACTAAGCCTTTCACCTTTAATACTCTCTGTTCTGTTGATCCATTGGCTTTAGATAGTCTTGTAAATGGGCAGAGGGTAAAACTTAAATATATGAACAAAACAAAACACGAAGGCAGTAGGCCAACCCTCATCTGTTGCTCAGAAGTTTCTGGAAGGAATGAAAGGTGTGAAGCAAGGATAAGAGAGATCTGGTTTAGCAACCCAGCGGCTTAGCTCTGTCACTTCCCAGCCATCTAACACTGGGCAAGCGGTCAATCTTTCTCAACCCCAGTCTTCTCATCTGGTAAAAATAGCACCTGTCCTTATAGGATTGTTTGGGGATAGAATGAGATAATGCACATAAAGGCTACAACACTGTGAGTGAATGCCAGCTGATATTACTACCATCTTGATGACCATGGATGCTATTGGGAGTAGCGGGAGAATATTGTATCCTCACAAACACTTGTAAAATCATCAGCTTGTGACTCTGTTGACCATAGGTCTAATGGATCAATGAGATGTTCTCTGAATCTCTGAACCTCAGTCATTCTCAGGTGCTGAGGCATACGCTTGCCAGCCCGTGTTTTACACTTTGGATGGTACCACTGCCCCCTGGTGGCAGCGTATCCTTCCCTGTAGGGAAGGTTCCCTAAGCAGAGGGACTGAACTGGCCTGAGCTCCCAGTGTCGGAATCAAACCTCCTTCTGTCCTATGGGAAACTGACCAAAGGTAGAGGTAGACGTCTGGCCTCCAGCCCAGCATCACTTGCACAGGAAGGTGATCTGTGGACCTGGGTTCCAGGGAAAACTAAAGAGACCTTAGAGACCCTTGGTCATGACCTCGATCTGGTGTCTACAGCTGAAACTTAAAGATAGTAGAAAATAGTTCTTAGGTTAGTATGGCAAAGTAGGCTTAGATCTGGAGAAGAAGGCGGTCAGAGGCAATGGGCATGAACACTGTTGTGTGGGACCCCCCCCACTCACCTTTTCAAAGGACTCTTCAGAACACCTGTGGAGTGTTTCATTAACACTCATTTGACCTTGAAACTTAAAACTAGTATAACCTGCTGCGGGTGGTTGATCTTGGTGGGTGAGGACACAGGGAAAGCCAACACTGATTTCTGGGGAAGGTGTTTTTGTTTTTTAACCAGTAACATTTATTAGGCTTTATTAATTATTGTGAAATGTAGATGTAATATGCTATATCTTAAATTTTTTAAAAATTGTGTTTATATATAGTATAAAGTTCATCATTTTGGCATTTTTAAGCGTACAATTCAGTGTACTAATTGTACTCGTCACGCTGTACAACCATCACTATATCCATTCTTAAAACTTTCTTGTCACCCCAAATTGAAACTCTGTATGGTGAAGCATTAACTCTCTGGAGGAACTTTTCATTCAAGCTGAATGCATTCTTTGGGAGAAGTAGCTGTTGAGGCATCATTTCACCTTCCATCCAAACTTCTGAAGCTATCTTCTCTTGGGGCGCCTGGGTGGCTCAGTCACTTGAGCCTCTGACTCTTGGCTTCTGCTCAGGTTGTGATCTCAGGGTTGTGAGATTGAGCCCTATATCAGGCTCTGCACTCAGTGCGGAGTCTGCTTGTCCCTCTTCCTCCCCCTCTGCTCTTCCCCTTGTTTGTGCTCTCTCTCCCTGTCTCTCAAATAAATAAATAAAATCTTTAAAAAAGAAGATACTCTCTCACCCCTTTTAATTGTTTTAACTGATCCTAGAAGCTTATAATTTGTACCAACCTGGATCAGTCCTTCAGTGAGGGTGGGGTGAGTGGGGAAACCGTCCCTGAAAATGGGAGTGTTCCTGGGGATCACCTCTGGGGAAGGAGGTGCCCAGTGGTGACAGAGGCTCTGTCATGCCAGTCCTTCTTTTCCTGCCAGCTCCAATGCTTCCGGGCAGGTGGTGGCCTGGCCACATTGCTGTTCCTAGTTACAGGTGGGGCTCAGTGACACCTTGTGCATGACCAGCTTGAGGGCTGAGGTAATTGAGGTGGGGAAGCCCTTCTCCTTCTCTGACTGGACTTGAGTGCCTCAGAGTCACAACCCATGTCTTGTTCATCTTTTTCTTCCCAGAGTGTAGCACCGGGCTGCCCAACAATGAGACATTCGATCTTTGTTAGTGTTGAATGAAATTGGTCTCTCCTGCTAGCTCCTAAACACTCCAGCAAAGAAAATGTGAGGTGGCCTCCGAAGACCACACTACCCCTTATAGATACACCACACGGCAATCTGACCTAGGCCAAAGGACAGAGATTTGAGAGTCAGAGCACCAGCATGGTTTCACCCGTGGTCTTGGTCATGAGATATTTTGGCTATACATGCTGAGCATCTGCTTAGGTCTACATAGCTCTGCAGTATGTGAGGAAGCCATAGTTCCAGCTTAGATAGGGTCCAAGATGAAGTCAGTAGGTGGGACTTTGTGCAGGACATTCTTTCTGCTCTGGTATCACCACTCTGTTATGGAGCACCTCGTTGGCCAGTTTTGCCCCTGAGGCTTTCACTGTAAGACAATGGATATGAATTCTTCTTGACTCTCGTCTTGTTTGACTCCATGCCTCCAAAGGTTGGCTGATGGATCCTGCTCTCTTCCTCTTTCCCTCCCTCTCCTCTCAATTGTCTAACCATTTGCCCTAAACATTATAAGGCACTCAAACCAGGAGGAACGTGGATGAAGCCTTCAAGACAGCTAATTGTCCTTGTTTTGTGTAATTCCATTTAAGCCTACAAACTAACATACCAGTCAGACACAGCCAGTGAGGTTATATTCCTGTCTGTTTGATGCCAGAACTTAACCACTTACTCTACCGTGCTCTTGAAATGCAGGAGGTAGGCACTCAGTTGAAAGTCTGTGATCTTCCTTTTGGGGTCTGAGATGATGTGGTGGGTGTTTAAAAGAGTGTGGGAATACAGAAGTGACTCAGCCTTGGTGGGGGGCAGATTGGGAAATGTGGCTGAGCTCTGCTCCTGGATCACCTGTGGGTTGTTACCTCCAGACGGTTGAAGAAGAAGCTTTGATAAAGAATAACAACACCTGTAAGGACTTCCTCATCGAGGCCATGAAATACCATCTGCTCCCTCTGGATCAGAGGCTCTTGATTAAGAACCCGAGGACCAAGCCCAGGACTCCAGTCAGCCTACCCAAGGTAAGCCCCAGCCCAGTCAGTGCCAGCAGGCGGGACTGTGTTCTGGGCAAATGGCCTTCTGCTCCTGCCTCCAAGTCTAGCCTCACCCATGGCTGCCCTGCTTCTTGGTTGCATTTACGACCTAAGAGATGGAGTCTGCTGGTTCCTTTTAAATCTGCTGGTACCGGGGCGCCTGGGTGGCTCAGTCGTTAAGCGTCTGCCTTCGGCTCAGGTCATGATCCCAGGGTCCTGGGATCGAGCCCCACATCGGGCTCCCTGCTCGGCGGGAAGCCTGCTTCTCCCTCTCCCACTCCCCCTGCTTGTGTTCCCTCTCTCGCTGTGTCTCTCTGTCAAATAAATAAATAAAATCTTAAAAAAAAAAAAATCTGCTGGTACCTCTCTCTTCCAGGGTCTTCCTTTCCTAAGAATTTCCAGGTAACCTCCAGAGTCACCAGGGAGTTTTGAAAATAACTCAGAGCTCTTTCTGCTCTCCTCCTTCTTTGTCCTGGGTTCTATTTCTTTTGGAAGCAGAGGAATGGCTGGGTGGCTCTTGACTTAGTGATGGTCCCACCAGTCCTCTTTCTAGGACGTTATTTGAATCAGAATAGTTCTAGTCTGGTTCTTTCTCTCACTGCAGAGCTCTACAGAACAATTAGGGCCACCAGATGTGTACTGGCCACCTTGGTTCCTTGCAAGGTCCTTCCCCTCTCTGGGTCTCCTGTCCTTCATCTGCAGAATGAAAGGTCCTGCACTAGCTGGTCTCTAAAGCCCTTCCCAGTGTGGCATTCCAGTAGGCTGTCTAGGAGCCAAACATACTGACGTCTCGGGAAAGGTCCCAGCCACCCGAGGAGGAAAGGTGAGCAGATTGGAGTGAGTTGTGTTGACTCATTGACTGCACAGCAGGCAGCACCAGGGAAGTATTTAGGCCTCTGCTTTGTCCTCCTCCTCCTCTTCCTCCTCTTCCTCCTCTTTGTGGCTGGCTGCCATACTCCCTGCCTGCTGCTTCCAGGAAGGTTTTCAAAGTGCTAGAGGAGCATGTTGTCTAAGACCAGATGTTTGGATTCTCTGCGGTCTGTGGTTCCTGTCTCCACTCCGCTCTGTGACTCTGGGTCACGGAGAATTTAGTGAGTGCTATGTGCACGAAGGTTGTCCATATCCCACAAAAGAATAAAGGCCGATGACATTTCCTGAGTGCTGCTTCTGTGTCAGGCAGTAAGCCTAGGGTCTCACACGTATATCCTCGAAACAGCCCTGTATGGGGGAGGCAGGGATCCTAGCTCTACACAGAGGAAACTGGAGGTCAGAGAGATGAAGTGACTTGCCCAAGGTCAACACAGCCAAGGTAGGAGAACCAGGGTTTGAGCTGGGTCTTTCTCCACCTCCAAACCTGTTCTGTGAACCCATACCATCCTGTACCTGTTTTCATCTTTGTAAACCTGAGCCTACATACCTACCTGTCTGCTTCCCGTTGCCTTCTACAGGTCAGAAGGGGCAGCCACAGGGCAAGGGCCTGGGTCCAGCTGGCCATTTGCCTTGTTGCCTGTTGACACTTAGGTTTTATTTTACTGAAGTATTGCATTGAAACTACTCCATATTTTTCAAAATGAAAATAACTTCAGTTACAGAAATATATGCTCATTGTAGACTATTAAAAAGATACTGCCTTTTTGACATACAGTAAAAATCACCTGAAACTCCTCTACCCAGGGGCAATCACTGCTGTTCCCTTGGTGAATTTTCTTCCAGACATAGCTCTGTGCGCCTCTTCATAAACAGATAAAACTGTACCCTTTTAGATAAATGGAATCTTGCTCCACAGATTGAAATCATTTTTTATCTCCTACTCAACAGACTGCTTTCATCCTTATCAGTATGAGTGAAATCAGCATTGAAATTATAATAGGTACATGATATTTAATTCTCTTTATGTACCATTATTTATTTAACTGCCCTCTGTGGATGGGCCTTCTAATAATCTCCTTTTTTTATATTATAAACATTTCTGTGTCAAATATCCTTTAAAAGATGGCATCTTGTTTTAGTTTGCACTTCTTTCATTGTGAGTGACACTGATCTTGGTTTCCTATGATTATGGCCTCTGTATTTCTTGTTGGGGAAATTTTCTATGATGTCCTTTGCCCATTTTTCTATTGGACTATATGTTTTTTATTAACGGTTTTTAAGGGCTCTTTTTATTTTAAAGCGGTTAGGCCTTTGTATGTATTTCCAATATATATATATTTTAAAGATTTTATTTATTTATTTGAGAGAGAGAATGAGAGACAGAGCACGAGAGGGAAGAGGGTCAGAGGGAGAAGCAGACCCCCTGCTGAGCAGGGAGCCTGATGTGGGACTCGATCCCGGGACTCCAGGATCATGACCTGAGCTGAAGGCAGTCGCTTAACCAACTGAGCCACCCACACGCCCCTGTATTTCCAATATTTTTTCTTCATTTGCATTCTTCCTCTAAACTTACTTATAACATTTTTTTTTGAATCCCCAAAAACAATTTTGAGTAGTCAAATTGATCTTTTTCTTTAGAGCTTAGGTTTTACATCCTGCTTAGAAATGTTTTCCCTGCTGAGATGAAAAAAAAAAAAGACCCCCATGTTTTCTACAAGTACTTTAATGATTTCTGGTTTTACATTCAAATCTTTGATGCACTTAGAATTTATTTTAGTGTAAGGAGTGAGGGAAAGAATCCAGCTTTATTTGTATGACAAATGATGAGCCAGTTGCCCCAAAGTCATATTATTGAAATCTCCCTCCCCCTCCATTAATCCGAATACCACCTTTATTAGGACCGAAATTTCCACAAGCTTGAATACTGAGGTCTTGAGAATGCTGATTCTGAGGTGCAGTGCTGTTCTATGTGGAGGAGGCTTCTTCCATGCCAGGTTCTCAGCTGGCATTGTTGCATGTCTTGGTGACTTTTCTCTTTGGAAAAGGAGGTTCTTATCTTATATCAGGTTACTGACATCTTTTCCTGGGGAGTGTGTTCCTGGTGCTAAGGAAATGCTGCACAGCTAGCCCAGTTTCTCGTGTGGAGACCATACCCAGTGACCTTTCCCTTTCTAGCTTTTACCACACATACCTGCAAGAAGACAGTTTTAAAAATCAAAGCCAAGTTTGTGCGTGAGTCCCCACTCAGCATGCTGAGACCACTCACCCCTCTCCAGATAATGAATCTATGGTTGAGAAACATCCACCCCTCTTTCAGGAGGCCAGAGCTGTCCTGCTGTCATCTCTACTCCTTAGGAACCACTCTTTTCAGAATGAAAATCTTTAGATTCTTGGACACATAGACTTCTGCTGGCAACCAGAACCAAGACTTCTCGCGAATGAATCTGTTGGAGGGATTTTAAAAAAAGACATCGCTGCTCTTTGCCTCATTGTCCCCCCGACTTTAATCCTTGAATGGCTTAGGGTTATGTTGTCCAACCTGCTTCTCAAACTCTACTCTGTCACCATTGTTGGGGCACTTAAATTAGTGAGGGTATCCCCACTCTGGGTTTGAGGAGTGGGGTGTGCTAAGGGCAACTATCACTTTGAGGATTATCAGGCGGTACATTATCTCATTAAATCATCACAATATTAGGGCGTTACTATTCATATCCCTGCTTTACTAAGTTTACTCAGAGAGGTTAAGTAACTTGCCCAGTTACACAGCTAGTAAGTGCAGAGCTGGGGTTTAAGCCAAGGTCTGTTCCACTCCAGAGTCTGTGCTTTTTCTCTTATACCAGATTGCCTCCTAGGGACAGGTTTTCAGATTTTGGTGGCAGATGAAAAAGATCCTTTTCTTTTCTTTATTATTTTTTTTAAATATCAAAATTACTTTAATTGAACCCTATAACATCCCATTCATCTCATGAAGAGATGCATTTCCAATACATTTACTACTTTTTATTTTCAAATTAAGACTTTATATTTTTAGGGCAGTTTTAGGATCACACTAAGATTGAGGGTAAGGTTGAGAGATTTCCCATATACCTTCTGCCCCCACACATGCATAGTTTTCCCCATTATCAACATCCCAGGTTATTTTCTTTTAAATTCAGTTTTATTGAGGTATAATTTATACACAATAAAATTCACTCTTTTTAGGGATACAATTTGATGAATTTTGAGAAATGTATACAGTTATTTAACTACCATCCTAATCAAAATATGAAATATTTTAAGCACTCCAAAAGGTTCCCTTGTCAATCCCCTTCTTCTACCCTTAGGCCTTGGCAACTACTGATCTGATTTTTGTCCTTACAGCTTTGTCTTTTCTAGAATGTTATATAAATGAAATCATGCCATATGTAGCCTTTTGAGCTTGCCTTCTTTCTTTTAGCATAATGCTTTTGAGATTCATCCATGTTGTTGCATGTATAAAGAGTTCATTCCTTTTTATTGCTGAGTAATATTCCACTGTATGGATGCACCATAATTTGTTTATCGTTCACTTGTTGATGGACATTTGGGCGTCCATTTTTGGCTATTAAAATAAAGCTGTTTGAACATTCACTTACAGATCCCTGTGTGGACTTATATTTTAATTTCTCTTGGGTAAATACCTAGGAATAGGATTGCTGGGTTGTATGGTAAGTATATGTTTAATTTTATAAGAAATTGCTAAACTGTTTTTCAAGACAGGTGTACCATTATGTACTCCCATCAGCAATGAATGACAGTTCCAGTTACTCCACAGCCTTAACACTATTTTTATTATCTATTTTTAAAGATTTTTGCCACTGCAATAGGCATGCAGTGGATCTCCCTATGGTTTTAATTTACATTTCTCTAACGACTAATGATGTTGAGCATTTTTTCATGTGCTTATTTGCTGTCTCTATATCTTTTCTGGTGAAGCCTGTTCAAATTTTTTTCCCTTTAAAAAAATTGGGTTATTTTATTCTTACTGATTTCTAAGAGTTCTTTGTATGTTGTGGATGTAAGTCTGTTATCAAAATTGTATTTTGCAAATATTTTTTCCCGACCTGTATCTTGTCTTTTCATTTTCTTAGAAGTATCTT